GTTATCAGGCGCTGGGCACAGCCTGTAGGGACAAGGGCATCAACTCGTTGCTGCTGGCACACCATGCAGACGACCAGGCAGAGACGGTGCTGATGCGCCTCCTCCATGGGCGTCTTAGGTCAGGCCTGCAGGGCATGAAGAGCGTCGAGTGGATACCCGAGTGTTATGGCATTTATGGCGTGCATCACAGCGGCTCCCCGCCACCAAGAGGGGACTCAACCTTGGCCTTGGTGGAACATGGGGGGATCGAAATACTGCGGCCGTTGCTACGCTTCGAGAAGAGCAGGCTGATCGCGACATGTGAGAGGCACAACACTCGGTGGGCAGAAGACAAGACGAATCAGGACCCGACATTGACCTTGCGCAACGCCCTGCGGTACGTCGTCAACAACCACCAGCTTCCCAAAGCCCTGTCTAAGGAACCCCTATTGAATGTCGCCCATACCATCCAATCCCGCGTGGAAAAGTATCAAGCAGCAGCAGAGGCCCTGTTCAACGCCTGCCCCCTGAGGCTCGACATCAAGACTGCATCTCTCGTGGTGCGTCTGCCGCCCGTGGACGCTCTCTTTCCCGCTGCTGTCTTCGTCCCATCCCCATCAGACAAGGTACAAGCCCGCAACACCGCTCAATTCCTTCTTGAGCGCGTCGTTGACCTCGTGTCACCCATGGAGAAACCCACAAAGGAAAGCGTAGCCAACGCTGTGCTGTCCGTGTATCCCAGCCTCGCCCCGGACTCCTCTGAGGTAGTCCAGCGAAAGAGCTTTACCTGCTGCAACTGTTGGTGGAAAAAATCTACATCCTCTTCTGCATTGAAACGCGCCGAAGGAGACCCACCTGTGGATCAGCTAAATGAGTGGATGCTTGCGCGGGCTCCACTTTCCAGAGAAGAGGTCGGCTCGCACTCGATAGATTTCCCACCCGGGAGACAGTCTGACTGGCATCTCCTCGACGGCCGCTTTTGGATCCGCGTCAACAATCTGAACGACCGCAATATCTTGCTGAAGACCATTACTGACGAGCAGCTGAACGAGCTACTGCAGATCAATTCGAACAGCAAATTCAGAGGGGACCCCTTGGATCCTGAAGCGGCATTGCACGACCTCCGCAAAAACATACGCGCGGTATTAATGAAGACGAAACCGCACACGGTACGTCGTCACCTGCCTGCGCTGTTCCTCGCGCCGCCTCCAGACAACCCAGATGCGGAGCCGACGCTCCTCGCTATTCCTACGCTTCAGTCCAGCCCTCAACCCGGCAGCCGGGCTGAGGAGCACTTGAAATGCGCGTGGCAAGTGCGGTACAAGAAAATCGATCCCGGTTCCCGTGCCCTCTTCCAAATACTCGCTAGGGAAAAGAGACCAACGACTAGCAGTGATTCCTCTACCCGCCCGCGAAAGGTGACGAAAGCGCGGAGACCCACTGGAACGACCTACAAACGAACTGTGGTCTGAAGGTGCCACTGAGTGAGGAAATAGCATCGAGTGCTTTCGCACTGGGGCAAGAGAATGCCAGGTAGGAAGAATAAAATATACTACATATTACACTCGCAAACAGTGATAGTTGAGGAATGCACGTGTCCTGGCTATCGAACGTGTCAGACACTGTGGCTTTGCGTGCCTTTGAATGCTAGTTCCCACCTGACGCAACTTGACAAAACAGGTGACGTTGGGCCCTGCCTGTGTGAAGCGATCTCCAGAGTATCGCGCGCAGAGTTTCAAGTCACGCGAGCCGTGATTGTGTTGTTCATCCTAGAGTAACACAAAGGACCAAGATAACAAGAGTCTGCCATTGTATCACCTATCCTGGAGTAACACGGAGGACTAACACATTGTGAAAATGATGTGTTCTCGTTGACCCTGTACCTTTGCGACCTTGACTAGGTAAAGATCATTGGTATTCTCTCCGAACTGAGGACTATGGCACCTGCACATTTGCGGTGACATGATGGTCCCAGGGGTCCTCGTTTACGCGTTCAGTCACACAATCTTAAAAACCTCCATGCTAGGATGCAGTCCATCAAGCTCGGCCATGAGCCTCAGAACACTGCCATCGCCGACTAGTGCCCACATCGCAGTGTCTGTGCCGCTCTTTTCAACCGACCTGAAAATCAACGGCTGATCTAGCGCATCGGCGATTACGATCGCGTCCCCTGGCTTCGCAGTGCCCAGAGATATGCCGAAGCGGCCTGCTTGCGTCAAGAATAGCGTGTGTCGAGTCCGGAAAAGGAGCATAGAGACAAAGCAATTGAAGTGGTTGAGTATATCCGCTGCTGAAGCCTCATAGACTGCCTTGTCGCCGCCCTCAACTGCTTCGGCCGATTCCTTATGGGTCACTTGCCCAAATACGAGGTTGTGCAACAATTCAGTCGCACCGCCATCGTCCCACTTCCAGTCCTGATCCTTCAAAAACCGGTCAAACATGTTCAGAATCGCCAATGTGGAATCTTTCGTCGTATCGCCCAGAAGGTGCGTGAGTTGCACTGGCTGGAGTCTAGTCCCATACAACTGCTATGCCTGGCCATTAAACAAACATACATCCCGCACAAATGGCTTCACCAGCTCCAACAGCTGCACTCGATTTATACTCGAAGTACCGTCATTGCGTAGAATATGCGCGAGCCTGGGTATCTCCAAGCTAGTCAAAACCACGGAATCTGGTTTGTGGCCCAATAGCTCCAGGATGTGCTAACGCGCATCATACTTGGGATACTCGGAGCACCTCCGTTCTTTGAGCTGCGGTCCGCCGGACCAGTCCGGTAGAGTTACTGTGTTCAACGGTGCGCGGTTGAGCTTGGAGATACGCGCCAGCTCTGGAACCCATGAAGGAAGCACGTCCGAAGGTTCCACCTATGCCTTCTCAGAGTCCGCGAGCGCGCTTAGAAAGAGTATCTGGAAGTCTCCTTGACTGAGCGCCCACCAAGTCGTCTCCGTATACACCTGCGCAGCTGATTTCTTTTAGTTAATAGTAGGGAGGGTTAGTCTTGCTGTCTCAGGGCTTTTCCGTTTCAGTATGCCGTAGAGAGCGTAGATCTTGTCCTGGGGGAGGTAGCATTTCCCGTCGAGGGTGTACTGGAGGATGCTCGAGAGTTTCCAGTGCTCCATGCCGGGCCAGTTGCCCATGGATAGGCGGAGCAGTTGTAGTCGCGCGAGGGAAACTGCGCGCGAGACGAATGATTGTGAGGTCATGAGGGGCAGGGTGCCGGAGCGGGTGAGGAGGAGGATGTCGTTGTGCGTGGGGACGACGACTTCTTGTAAGGTCCACATGCGTTCGTGCCAGGGGTAGAATTGGAAGTCCCGCATTACAGAAACTTTTAAGGAAGTCAGCTAAGAAGACAACTGCTCATTTACCAAGTGGACGACTTACTCTCTGCGGCAAGTTCCTCACTCTTTTCGGTCACATCTTGTCCAGCGTCTCTGCTTCCGTCTAGAATCCGTCTCAACACAAGCACCGCATCTTCTGTAAACCCCGTCATCCATATTAGCACCTTAGTGCAATTCTCATAAATCTCGTCCATCCTCGCTAGGTTAACATTCTTGTCTTCGTCAGAGCTCTGATTGACGCATATTTGGTCCAACCAGATGGTAACCGAGCCTTCACGCTTCCGCAGACACCGCAGGATATCGCTGCAATTCCTCGTCACTTTGATAGGCGCTCCATTGCAGTACGCCTCGCTATCGAAAGGCTGATTATCCTATGTGTACGATATAGCTGCGTAGGTAGGCGGCTGGTCGTAGCTGGCTTCTTCTAAAGTGAATCTACGTGCATCGCTGCTGTTCTCCGCGGGATACAGATGTAGAACTCGGAAGAGGTTTGGGCCTGAGAGTGGGAGGTAGTCGAACTGCTTCATGGTCGTAGTTAAAGGTATCCCCGCAGTGTTCTAGAATCGTAAAAGGTCATATCCCTACATCTTCTAGGTAGCACTTCGCGTTTTGTCTCTTATTTAGCAATCTGGACCTCATCTGAGGGAATCATTGCTGCGACATGCACGTCTTCGTGTTGTACCGATGAAAGGAAGCTTGGCTGTCCTATACAAAAGCTAAGAACATTTTGCTGCACCTTGGCGCAGCTCAGCTGAATGTAACCGCTATTAGTAATGGTAGGTCTGTCTGCCACCTTGCTGGACCTCGATGGTGTTCTATGTGGTTCTCAAAACCGCTCAGAAGGTTCCCCGCCTCTTCAAGGTGAACTGCGCCATCACAACAAACCCTTTAAACACTCATTCTCTTATGGGAAAAGACTGCCCTCAAATAATTCCAAGCTCCTTTCAACTCCTCGTCCCTCATTCGATCAAGTATCCTTGGATCTAAATGCCAAATTCATGACATGTTAGATCCCTTCAGGTCGTCTTTCTTGCGTGGATCCAAGCTAAGGCTTCGCAGCGCCGCATTGGCCATGTGCTCGTCAACCATGTATTTGATGTTGAGGTACTGTGGGCTTGAGGGTCCGAAAGTCGCAAGCGCGTTGCGCATCGACGACTGAAGCTGCGGGTCATGATTAGCTCTCGACTGATCTATCGGGAAGGAGGAAGCCAAACTGGCATGAAGGGTGATGCGCATGAGAAGTGGTGATGAACATGCGAACGAAGTTTTAGTGCGGGGTTAGGCGTGCTGTCACTTACCGAGGCAAGAAGGTCGTCTTGCTGCGATGACATAGTTGGATTGTTGTGAATGTTAGGGTTTGCTCTGAGCCCTTCCAATGTTGTTTTGTGCGAGGTTTATCTGGAGGTTAAAGACGCTGGCTAGTGGGGTTAGAGGAGGCGGATATCCTGCAACAGAAAGCGCGTATCAAAAGATTAAAGGGGTCTACAACTCGCCCTATTATCAATCGCGTTATTGCTTCCAATAAAATACTTCAGCATTAAAGTTACAGTACATGTGGTAGGCTGGTTAGGTGGCCGTAGGTTTATGTGAGTTTCAAAGTCCACGTAACGGCGCCCTACACCCACAAAAACCTCGCCAGAACTTCAAAAAGTCAAAAAGAAAGCGCTTATTCGTGAAATGTGACAAGAGTGGGATTCGAACCCACGCCTCGAAAGACTGCGGTTTCAGCTGCTCTACAGAGGAGCTTGCCTAAACACAGCGCCTTAGACCACTCGGCCATCTTGCCTAACGATTTTTGTGAAATTTTCCAAATCAAAATATATATGAACAGAAACAACGGATGTCAGGCAGTCTATAAGCCCAGGCGCAAGCGTCTATAGAGAATTTGACGTTGGGCAGTTGGAAGTGGGGTTTACATAAGTGTGGGCACTAGTACAGTAAAGCATACATTGGCGAGCATCACTCGTCCATGGCTCACTACCAATCAAAGGGGACCTTTAAACAAATCTGCCATATTTGCGATATACTCAGGTGCATCACATAGATTTTAATCGTTGCCATCTATCACTTAAATTTGTCAACGGAAAATCTTTCAGGTGTCTCAATATTGTCAACTGCACATTTGCGCAAGCGTCGTACGAAGAGGCACAAATGCCAGAGGTTCGAAGTGTTGTACAAACGAACACCAAGAGCACTAAATTGGGATTAGGGAGTAGTTTGTATGCGCAATTGGAAATTACATGCTGCTGGACTGGGCACACGGAGTGAAAGCTGCTAAAGTGACGAAGAGATACAACGTCGCATCACTGCGAATCGAGCGAGCATTCCACACGCAGGATTAGTCTACGATGTTAATACTGGAATAAAGTATGGAAGAAATTTAAATTCTTGGTTGTCTGCACGAACCAAGTTAACCCAGCGGCGAATCGATGATGGCTGCAGGAAGTTGACCTCTTGCTGTAGGTCGTGACCGTGTTAAGGCGGATACTATGCTGCTTTTCCACATCTTCATAGTGCGTAAAATGTGTGAAAAACGACAGCGATAATGCGCCTCACCTTCCACCGCAGAAGACGTTGCATACACCTTCCTACATCCTTATTCAAGATGCTTCAGCGTACGCGGACTGAACAGAGTCTTATCAGAACAGTACGGACGTATCGAAGTCTAAAAATTATACTGCGCAATTATCCCGTGATAATGCGCGTTGTTGCTGATAATGCACGCAGCCAGACAGCCCCAGGTTCCAAGCCAGAGTCCCTGTACGTGTCCAAGCTACCAGAAGCTCATTATCAATTTTCATGTAGAATGATCGATATATTGAGCAATAGCAGTAGGCTTTATGTGATCAGGCCGGTAATGAAGTTATCAGCGTAGTGATTTGGTCTACTTTAATGCCAGTTAGACTCTTTGAAGTGACGACGTCCTCCGACGCGTGCGAGCGCCATCGACCAATATGAACGACTACACGAGTTGGGAATGCGTGAGCACACACAATGAACACCTGCTTTGGCTGTACCTGGCTATAGAATTGTTTGAGCCCACCGAATACGCGTCAGCGCCAGATTTGCATTGGACGTTGTTGAAGCGCCATGCGCCTATCACCACCCACGCAACCAAACAGTTTATCAATTCATATTCGCCATCCTCGTCAGCACCCATTCCCGAATCTTAAAATTTCTCCGAGCGATCCCTTATCCGCAGAGCCACAACAATCCTCTCCTCGCCGCGCAAGGTAATACCTCCACACCATTCCAACATGAGCACCGTCCAGCAAAACACCTCCCACTCTCACCACTACCCACCATACCAAACACCCTTACCCGTCCTCTCACCTTAAAAGCCGACTAGAGCCTGGTGCTAAAACGAACAAACACCTACACGCAAACGTGCGGCTCCGCCCACTTCCCAGGTAGTTCAAAACCCCACTCACACTCTACCGTCATTCCCAAAAGCCCAACGACGCCTGCTATTTTTGCAGCGCGCTTTACAAATAAACCAGGTAGGTACACGGCGAGCAACGCACAGTACATATGTGCAGCGTCCTCTACAGCACCGTGCGAATAGCGCGAACACAGCACAAATCCGCAAACCCCTCGCGGCCAGTGAAAAGCACGTGTGAAGTATCTAGGTACGAAGGTGTAGACGTGGGCGTTTTGAAGAGTAAGATTCAAGGCCGCGGGAGCCGCGCCAAGCTGCAAGCACGGTGGAGCAGGACGTCCGTGGGATGAGTCACTCGACGTGTTTCGAATACTGAGAAGCTTCTAGCAACAATAGCAAATCCCTTGACTGTACCGCGGGTGGTGAGCACAGCGCGACTATAAGGAGCGTTCAGAGCCAGTCATCGCGGTCCCAAGGCATGGACCACCCGCACATTTCGATAGAGTCACTACCATAGGGGTTAGTCACCATGATGATTCATGCCACGAGTCACCGCAGAGGAGTCATTGTGTAATAGAGACGGATATATTAAAGAGAACACCCCCAGAGGTTTGAGCCTGAAGGGCCACCTCGCCACTACCGCGCGGAAACTTGCAAGGACAGTAAACATTCACAGAGCCGACTTCTTCATCGGCAAAAGCATCGCAGCCGTCACCAGGAGGAGTCAATCAACCGAAGGGAGACTACGCTCCGGCCGGGGAAAAAATTAGTACAAAAGGAAAAGAGAAGGAAGAACCGATCGTGACGTGAGGGCGACAGGGGATCAACCTTACAGGCACTGAACAACAAGGACGAAAGGAAAACTTTTCATCGGGGCCGAGCTGGCGAGGCTATCCTCACCGGCTCCCTTATAACCACTGATACTGATCCGGACCGACTCCGGGAGGCGCAAATATTCATAGTCCGGTATAACCCTGGGCAAAGGCGATCTGCTTCCACTTCTCCACTTCCGCCTCTAGCTCTGCGTTGCGCTTCTCAAGGGTGTTGACGTGGTCGAATTTCCGTTGGCGCGAGTCGCGAGCTGCAAGAGTATTGCGCGCTCGCTTCAAGGCTACCTTGTCGTTGGGGTCCACCATGATAGTGGGTAGAGGTCCTTTCCGCCGGCGGGGTTTGGTGATTGATGCATTCGCGGCAGGTGAGCCGTTAACAGATGATTTTCTCCGGTGCGAGTTACTGTTCATCACGACAGGCGAGTTGGCGCTTGAGCCGCTACCGTTGGACTTGGTCGTGTGGCTGCTAATGGTGCGCTCGAGAGCGGGAGCGACCAAGGGAGCAGTGACAGCGGGCGCGACAGACTTGGACTCATCCTCTGGGAACAACGAGTACCAGTTGTCAGTGGAGGGTAGGTATGAGTCGCCCTGGAACATGGGCGAGGTCTCGAAACTGTCGGTGATGAACGGAGACTGATCGATATCCGGGGAAGTGATGTCCGTGAACGTCGTCGAGGGTGGCGCAGACTGGAACGGGTCCGCAAAGATGTCCTTGGGAGAGATGGTCTGCGTAGAGCCAGACACCGAGAGGGGGTTGACGGCGGTGAAGGCACTCGCAGGCGCTTCCCAAGGACTATCTTGCTGGAGGCCAGCAAAGAGGCTGGCCCCCGAGTCGAACGAGTTGTTGCTGTGCAGGTCTGCGCGAAGCATGAGCTCGACACTTGAGTGAACAGAAGTAGCGTGAGTCCTACCTGCCATGGCTGCGACGTTGGCGGTTTGCTGGATCTGGGGAATGCTGTTGCTGGAGCTAGAGAACAAGGGGACCGGTGGACGTTGTGACTGTGGCTGTTGGAAACGTAGGGTTGATGTAGGCGCTGAGTTGGCGTAGAAGGTGTGAGTTGCGTTAAACAGATGCCCAGGTTGCGGAGCGCTCGGTGCACGCTGCGGCCGATGAGGGGCTGGAGCCGGCTGGTCGTAGAGCACGAAGTCCGTCTGCGGACGCGCGAAGTCGGTGTGGGACGTATTCAGTGGTAGCCGTGAGGCGTGGGGAGCTGGTGAGGAAAGCCATGATGACTGGTGAGAAGCCGTGGTGGACGACGTAAAGTCGAACGGGGTGCTGGAAGGCGACGGCGAACTAGAGCTGCACGAGGCTGGGCTGTAGTTCAGAGGTTCCAAAAAGGAAGGCTCTGAGGTTGTTTTGTGAGTGGGGATTTTAGACTTTATTGTGGAATCCAATATGTCGGCTTGAAGTCGACGAGAGAGCACGGAAGGAAGCTAAAAGGCAGCCATTGTTGTGGTTGCCTTTAGTGTTGTATTGTATGGAGTTGTGGAGGATGGAAGGAGAAGAAAGAAAATCGCTGCCTGACGCGGGGCTTGCCCTTTTTGTGTGCGCCGAAGGGCCGCGCTAACATTATGACTCACACCGAGGAAGCGAGCGCTGCATGCCTCTCCACCAATAGCGGGGGGCTGCACCGACCACAACCCTGGTTCATGCATCCGAGCCACCACCAGCGGAGGCATCGTGAGACGCAGCCATGGCAGCGATGCAGCAGGCGGGGCACAGGTAGGCACAGGTAGGTAGCCCGAGTGCTCGCTCTTCAGAGGGTGTCTCGAAGGTGTTGCGCGTGCTGTCTTTGCCCTCCTCCACCTCACCACAAGCTCTGCCAGCGCACCGTTGCTGGCCGCGACGCACGCCCTCCAGCTATAATTGGCGGTGCCAACAGCAGGCATCGCTCTGTCGACGAGTAGGGCGCGAATCAGAGGCCGGCGCACCCTAGCTGCTGAGCCCAGCTGAGCTTAGAAACCGGAGGGCATGATTACGACCCGCCTAACGCCGCCTGCTGCGGAACAAGGACCCAAAATGCCCACGGGAAAGAGGGCGGAACAAAAGAACGCCCTTTTTCGCTGCCTTCAACTCCGATGTGCGCGCATAGGGCAGGCCGTCGCAAGTGATGTAACCCAGGCTGCGCGTTCTGCTTGCGACTTTGCGCATACGCAACTCACCAAGTGAACCCTACACGCAACCATCAGCGCGTCGTTTCCCTCGTGTTTCGCGCAAGGAGCGGTGTGTTGAAACGGAACGTTGCTTCTGCGCACCGCTGGATACGGCAAGTATGACTCCTCAGGCACGAAACAATCTATCGAATGAACTCAGCCCCGATATATGCACTCAACGCTGATCGCTGGGGTATGGTCCATAGCCCCGTTATTCCGGGTCCAAGACCGCACTGTGCATGTTGGATTGCACGTGATTGCTCTGGGCACCTACAACATCCATATATCGATTGAAAATTTCAGTACATCTACGTATCAGGTAGGTTGGAGCGCATCGCCGCTAATAATCAGACCTCCTCCTTTGCGCTTCCCTCATTGCGAGTCCAGTGGTCGACTCAATACCAAGGATCCACATCCGCTTCG